CAAAGCATTCACTGGAAAAGAAAACTGGCAATTAGTTGAAGCTTCTCTGATGGCAATAACCTGTATAACTTTTTTTTTTACTGTATAACTTTTTTACCTGATGACAAGTCATAGAGCGCAGTGACAGATGTTATGAACTGACAGCAGAATCGAGGGCTGGCACTGAATATCTGTTTCAGTGTCTGTACGGAGCCTGGCACCAAACAGCAGTAGTCATCCACGAGAGCCCTGGCAAGTCTTACACAGTAGACCACAGGTGTTCGCTGGAAAGAAGACACAGGCCACGTAACTACAAGTGTGACCCAGTAGGCAGCAACTATGTACAAATGCTGAAGACCACCAAAACTAGCAGAACCACTTCCAGGAGAAATGTTAACAGCTTCTTTTAGTAATGCAAAGTAGACAGACAAAATCTGCCCTCTCCCCACTTTTGTGAATTAAGTTTTACCAAGATGTGGCCATGATCATTTGTTTATCCACTCTTTAAGGCTGCTCTTTCACTACAAGGGCTGAACAGAACTGAACAGCTGCGACAGAGATAATATGATCTGCAAAGACTAAAATATTTGCCGAAAACATTTGCTGGCTCTTGCTTCAAAGTTTACTTAGGAAAGATCACTTGACCTCAGGTGAAGAAATGACAACTCTTACAATCTTAAATGTTCCAGGTGACACAACGCAGCAGGTAAAAATTCACAGCTGCTACCACTTTGAAAAGATTTATGAGTCTGAGAACCCACATGATTAAAATGTTTGTTTAGAGCAGCAATTTGCATATTCCTCTTACAATCCTCTTCTTTTGACATATTTCTACAATACTGTTGAATCCTATATCACTACTCTTCCCCGGCATTCTCCCTCCAGGTATGTGTCTATCAGTAGCTCTGGTCACATTTAGTAGCTGCTCATTATGCAGCAGCTCCAGGGCACTAACTGGGCCTACAGCAGAAACTCTAAGGAGACCACAAGGTCAGATTGTTTATTTGGCCTGTCCTCTGCCACTAAGAACACTGATATCTCCACCTGGCCTCAAGAGAAAGCTAAAGCCCCTAACCCCAGGTAGCAACCCTGACCCAAAACACCAAGATCTTTTTGTTGACATCTGCTTTCATTTTATCAAAATGCCAGCACATCATCATCAAAAGACATCAATGAAAAACTAGAAGATGCTAATAGATTATAGATAATCAATAGATTGTCAAGGGATAAAGGAATCCTGAGATTAAATATAATATTAATGATTAATTTGGATGCCCCAGAAATTAGACTGGCGAGAATTAAGGTATAAACTTCACTGAGATTCTCTAGTGTACTATAAATAATATGATTTTGTTAGCCAAATTTTATGCATAAACAAGATTAATTAAATTGGGAAAAAAAACAGATTTTGGGGCTGAGATGTGCCTCAGTGGTAGAGCACCTGCCTTGCATGGGCAAGAACCTGGATTCAATCCCCAGCACCTCAAAAGTTTTTTTATTTTCAAGTATTGGGAATAAAGCAGGTTTATGAAACTGATAAATTGTTAACTTGGCTAAGGAATAGATTAGTCAAAAATTTGATCAATAACTAAGTAGATTATTAATTTTTTAGACCTTGAGAAACAAAAAAAAAAGTAAAACAAATGAATTTCCCAAAATATCACCTAGCACTAAACCTATTGTAAATATATACTTTTTCCTTTGATATGTCCATTTGAAGGGCTATCAACTATGTGATGTCACCCTAGAGCTATGCAAAACAATTCACCTGTTTACTGACTACAGAAAAGTACTACCTTCTAACAGTGGGTAAACATTTGTACAACTTAACATATAATGATATTAAAAAAAAATCCCTTTTTCGAGACTCCATAATACTATTTTCATTTATAATTTCCCCCTAAGAGGAGCATGGGAGGATTAGATAAATTCTAGATAGGGAAGAGGGGTGGGAGGGAAAGGGAGGGGTAGGGGATTAGCAAGGGCAGTGGAATGTGATGGACATCATTATCCAAAGTATAAGTATGAAGACTCGAATTGGGTGTCAACATACTTTATATATAAACAGATATGAAAAATTGTGGTATATATGTGTAATTAGAATTGTGATGCAAAAAAAAGTACATATATAAAGGCATGAATTGGTGTGAACATACTCTATATACAAAGTTAAGAAAAATTGTACTCTATATGTGTAATAAGAATTGTAATGCATTCCACTGTCCTGTATTTAAAAAAGTAAAAATCAATAAAACTAAAACAAACAAAAAACAAAACAACAACAAAACACATTGAAAAAAAATTTCCCCTAAGAATGATTTTTCACTTGTTCTAAAGATGAAGCCTTTTTTTCTTCATTAAGAAAAAAAAATTAACTTGCCATTAAAAACTATTATGTCCCCAAGAATTGTCATGCTTTGAAATAAAAACAGGATAGGAATACAGCTATGAGTATCCAGGGCAGTAATGATTAAGAACATGATGTGTGTGAAAAGACCTCCCCAGTGATTCAGTTAAATTAATGACCCTGATAGTAAACAATGGGTAAACATTTGTACAACTTAACATGTAATGATCTTTTTTAAAAAATGTGGTTTTTTTGAGATTGTACGCTATTTTCATTTATAATTTTCCCCTAAGAATGATTTTTCACTTGTTCTGAAGAAGATTTTAGGAACTCTGGGGAGCGTACCTGGAGCCAGGAGGCTGCACACTCCAACACTGGAACTCGACACACAGCCACCGCCATGGACACCAGTTTTCCCAACAGGCTCATCCGGCTGTCATCGGCTTTGTTCCCCTGAGGGCTGAAAAGTGATGAGAAAATAATCTGCCGCACAGAGTCCTTGGTTTGCTCCTGGAAATAATTGCACATGATTTCAAGAAGCTGAAGCTCCTGAAGTGAATTCAGTCTCTGTAAAACAAACCCGGGACAAGCTATAAGAAATGTGGCTTTCACATACCCGTTAGTTCACCCGGTGAGAAACCAGGAACTACCATTAGTTACCCCAGGATATTTTTCGCCCCTCTGAATCCCGGGTCCTGGGGAGCGGAACGCTACTGCCAAGCTCAGGAAAAAGTCATATCTCATCAAGTATCATCTCGGAGGCCACACAGTTTTAGACTCTAGGTAACAGGCCTTTAGCGAGGTAAGCGGACAGTCCCCGAAGTCTCATCCCAGAACACTTCTGAGCCGGACTGTCACACGCCTGCAAAACAGGCACGCGGTTGAGCAATGCTGCAGGACTGCAGGATAGGGGGCTGGGGTTGGGGGGGCCGCTGCAGGAGCAAGGCCAAGGGCGAGAACCCAGCAGCCTGGCAACTGCTTGTCACCGAGGGGAAGGGCACGATCGGGCAGGCACCTTGGGCTGCGCGCCGCGCTCCTTGGGCACCTGGAACACGAACTCCTCCAGCAACTCCACGGGGCCCTTGTCCACGATGGGCAGCGGAGCGCTCTGCAGCTGACTGCTGAAGTAGATGTCCAGGTGGTACAGCACCTCCTTAGCTGCGCTCAGGGCGTCCCGGCGCAGCAGCGAGTGGCGGATGTCGCTCATGGTGTGGTGGCTGTGGCCCAGCACCCGCGCGTCCCACTTCC